GAGGGAAACTGGGAGAGACAGAGAGAGGGGAGAAAGCCACATGGAGGCAGAAGCCGGAGGTAGGCTGCCACAACCCAAGAGATGCTAAGGACTGCAGGCAAACCACCAGAAGCCAGGACACACTCACGGGACGGCCTCTCCCCCGGAGGCTTTGGGAGGGAGCATGCCCTGCCAACACCTCGATTTCCACTTCTGGCCTCCAAAACTATGACCTAATAAATTTCCATTGTTTTCAGCCACCCAGTTTGTGGTAATTTATTACAACAGCCTCAGGATGGTGGTTGTTCTCACGATTCCAAAATTCAACGTATAAATATCCACTCCCTACAAAGCATGGTTGAGAAAGTGAAACTGCCCACTTCTTTTCCACCGAATTGAAATAAGAGGAAACATTCATGAAAGTGCCTCACGAGCTTTAAGAACACATAATTTTCAACTCGACCCATTTTTATTTATGAAATGCCCATTCCATCTGTCCTGTGAAAAACAGGAACTATTCAGTATCTACTCTTAGAGCAACTACTCATTATGAACAAAGCATTGAGGGCAATGAAAACTCCCAGCAGCAACCCCCCAAATAGTCTGAATTCTAACAGGAAAACCCTAAAGTGAGGGAAGAAGGTCACTGAATTTTGAGAAATGTAGACAAATGATGAGACCCTGGAATCGAAGTCAATAGCATTTTGCAGAGAGTAGCTGCTCAATAAATGTTTAATGAATTAGTAAATTATTAATTAAAAATGTATCAGGATTATTAGCCTTTCTACATTTTCTGTCTTAGTACTCACAGTTCTGAATAGTAAGTCTGTATATCCAGTTAAACCACGACTACGTTAACTCAAAATATTTTAAATCAATGAGTTAAATACACCAGTCAAGAATTTGTTCATACATCTGACAGGATTTCCTGAGCCCTACTGCCGCCACGGAGTCTGGTTGAAGGGATTCAACACTGAACAAGAAAGACACGGTCCATGCCTTCCTGAAGCTTCAGTTAGGCAAAATGGCATGGACAGTCCACCAAGAACCACACAGACGATGAAGTCTAAGTGTGAGCTGGGCGACAAGGCACCACAGAGACGCATAAGGGAGTAGGGACAGAGGCCCAGGCCCCGAAAGGGCTTTGTAAGAGAATGCGTATTTGCAGTTGAATCCTTTAGCAGGATCTAACAGAAAGAACAAGACAGGTACAAAAGGCATGTGATGAACGGAGGAGAGGCCAGCACCTGGCACACGGGGGAGGTACCACACGTGAGGTGCAGATGGAAGCATGCATGGAGTCCCAGCGGGCTCCGAACAACCTGGAAGGACACAGGGGAGCTTCACTTACATCCCAGGCCACACGACGCTTGCATGGGGGAGCCAGATGCAGATGGCAGACGAAAACATTAATTTAACATCTTCCTAAACTCTAACCAAAATTCCAGTAAAGAATTTTTTTTTTTTTTAAGACACGAACCCTCTCAATAGCGACAAAGGTATGGAAGCAAAAATGCAGATCAACAAGAAGTGACTAATTTAACACCATCAACAGAGCCAAATCCCAAGGCTTCAGCAGCTAAGCTGAGAACCAACCCAAGGAAACTGCAGAATCCTCGGGGGAGACTCAGAAACCAGTAATACCACATGGGCCTAAAACTAGGAGCGAATGTGGGATGCCTGGCGGGGGGGGGGTTGCAGACGGTTGAACATCTGACTCTTGGTTTCAGCTCAAGTCATGATCTCAGGGTCATGAGATGGATCCCCAAGTTGGGCTTGGCGCTCAGTGGGGAGTCTGCTTGAGATTCTCTTCTCTTCCCTCTAGCCCGCCCCCACCCCTCCCTGTGCTCACACGTGCTCTGTCTCTCAAATAAATAAACAGAATCTTAAAAAAAAAAAAACTGGGAGTGAATGGGAAGAGATGAGGGAAGAAGTCCCCTTCCCTACTCCAAAAGATCAACCGTCCTCCCAGTCTCCTGCAGAGAGGGTGAAACAGAGGGCCCCTGGACCGCGGGTGCAGGTGCCTGGGGCCCTCGGTGCCGAAACCCCGGCCCTCTTCTGCCTCACTCACTCAACACCACCAGCGGCTGGACTTTGAGCCCCAGGCTGGAAGCCAAAAAACTTCCCCTGGAAAATCAGCACCGTACAATGAAGTAGCTCTCCAAGGTCACCTACACTGACCACCTCTGCCTTCAGCTTTCTAACCCCTCTCTTACTCAAGAGCCACGGCCAAGGATTTTCAGCCTCCAACAAGAACGTCAGGACCCAAACCAACATGAAGGAAACAAATTATTCAGGGGAAAAAAGAAGACTTTCAAAAAACAGTAATTCCAACAAGATAAACTCATGCGTCCATGTGGTACAAGGAGAGGACGCTATAAACAGCATTCAGCAAAAACCCACCAAACAAGCGCTCGTAAAAACAGGACAGCACAAATAAGTTCAGAAAACTTCTTAAAGTGCCACAAACAGACAAGGAAATGAAAAGTAGAACTGAAAGGGAAAAAAAAAAAAAAGTAAAAAGCCAGTCCAGGAATAGCACGTCCACATACTCACAGATCAAGAAAGCAAAAGAACAGTGGAAGACATCATTTTAAAAAAGAAACATCCCCAAATTAAAGGCATGAGCTGCAGACACCAGAGGTGGCCAGCACTGTGGAAGAAAAGAGATGTCCACCATGGCAACCCACTGTGAAACTGCAGGACAATGGTGGAAAATACAAGAGTCCAGAGAAGGGAGGGGAAAATGGAGTGATACCTCTAAATTCTTGAGAAAAGTGACAGTGAGCCTAGAATTCTTTACCCAATCAGTGAAGCATGAAGACAGAATAAAGACATTCTCACTCAAAGCGAGAAGGATACTGAAGGCCACCATCTTGAAGATGGCTTGCAGCGTGGCCTCATCTTCATGACCTGAGGGGAGAACGCCAAAGCACGGCAGACCGAGGCTGCCGACAGTATTTGACTCATTCTGACCAAACACTACACAGGTTCCCAGTCCCTGCTCTAGGCCCAGCTGCCTGGAGCTGAGGAGAACATTCCATTCACTTCACAGAAGAGTAGTGCTTGGGCCTGTTCCTGGAACAGAGTAAGCTATAAAAACAGAAAATATAAACCAACTGGTTCCTGTCCGTATTTCTCAGGATGTCCAGTACCTGGAGTTCAGCTGCAGCTCTGGCAGATGGCTCAACTACAATAAACCCTAATTCTCTTAAGACCAGCTCATGACTTTGTTGACTCTTGTCAACTGAGGAAAAGCAAAGCCAGCTTATTGCCCAAACATCATCCAGCTATTTTCCCCTCCAAAGAGCAGGAAAAGGCCTCTTCTTTTTTTTTTTTTTTTTAAGATTTTTCTTTTTAAGTAATCTCTACACCCAACGTGGGGCTCGAACCCACAACCTGGAGATCAAGAGTCACACCCTCCTCTGACGAAGCCTGCTAGGTGCCCCAGGCAAAGGCCTCTTCTGAAACAGGTAGGCTTAGACCTGCTTCTTACCTTGTCAGAAGCAAATACATAACATTTAGGAAGACATACACCAGCAGTAACACTACAGAGAGAAGCAGCGAAATGATCCCCACAAAAGTGAGTGTGCCGGGTCCCCTCGAAGAGGCAGGAGAGCGTGTCAGGGAAGGACATGCTTCTGGTGGCGACCTCTCATGTCTAGACTGGAGGTGCCTATTCGTGCTTTCATCCGTTACGCTTTGAGCTCCTCACAGGTGTAGACTATACTTCAAAAGAAAACCTATTTTGTCAAGAGTGAGGGACATGATCCAGTGTATACACTTAAAATATCACGAAGGGCCACCGTGAAGAGAGTGGACGCCAACTGTCGGGGTCCCCGGGGAGACACGCAGAGGCCATGGAGCCAGGTAAGTTATGGAAAAGCAAAAGCTGTGCTTCTTTCTTATTTTTTATCTTTTCCAGGGAGGATGTTATCAGGAAAGCAAGAAAGGACGGAGAGGTGAAAAAAGAAGTATTTGATCAGTTAGCAAAAAAAAAAAAAAAAATGCCCAAGACATCGTTTTACTTCCAGCGATCACTACCCCCTAGCAGCCTATTCCATCTATGCTGTTCTAATACAGGAGGATCAAAACACTGTAAAAGTCATCTACCCAATAGCCTCAGAACATAATTTCATCCCTAGTTTCAAGAGCCATCTTTTTAAGTCCAATTCTACAAGAAGGAAAGTGCAGCTCGAGAAGGTTCACAATTTGCCACGACGGGTTCCAATTCTGAGGGGGCCTTCGGGGTAACTGAAATTCAGGAAGCCCGCGCCCAGGCCCTAAACTCTTGCTGCCCATGGCACCTCACACCATCGGCATTTTGGTCTCCTCAGGGGACATGTGTGGCAGAAATGTGCCCCCTCAGGCCTGGAAAACCACTTTCCTCCAGCCAGCAGTGACCATGTTTGAGCCACCCAAGGACTTGGGGTCCAGGGAGAGAGAGAACGTTTCGGGACTCCCTCCGGCCCGCACGGATCATCACCCACAGCTTCCTATTCATCTACGTAGAAGTATCAGCCATCATTTTACAGTGATGAGAACCTGGTGATCCATTTCAGTTGTGTGTCCCCCTCCCTTCTGTTAGCACCCCCCAGACCTACTGCCCATCGGATACTCACACACATTTCTCGGGCCATCCAGGAAACTGAACCATCAAGAGGAGCATCACTTTCTATTATTTTTACCAAACAAATACCAATAATAGACTTGCTACGTGTCCTGTTCCTTTCGTAAGGGGTGAGGGAGCGCACACGAGGTGTTATTATTCTATAATAATACAACATGGAGAAAAGCGGTAAAGCCACAGAATTCCAGCCAGGCTCCTGTAATATGAGGAATTTGTGAAGATGACAAAACAGGGCAAAAGCACATAGGTAACATTTTAAACATTTCAAATGGGACCAGGCCGAGCAGGTAGCTCTTCCAACCGTGGAAAATGATGGGCTGTGAGAAACTTTTCACTGGAGAACGGTCAGTGTGGAGGAGAACAGACAAGTCGCCACGAACCCACATCTTACCTTAAATACTTCCATTGGAAGAGGAAAGTGTGCGGCATCAGTAAGGGATTTTTCCAGAGCACATTTCCACTCAGACGCCATCTTCAAAGGATAGATTTCTGTATCAACAGCAAACCACATAAGCGTTTAAGGACTAAAATATTCTGCGGGGTGGTTCTCCCTTTGAATTTTATATCTGCCAAGTTCTCAGAGTCACTCGGCAAACTCAGCGACCCTAAGAACTCACACCCTGCCCCATAAAAGGCCACCTGCTAACGGGATTTTCTGACAGTAAAAAGCTCTTAGTAGCTTCTGACAAGGTAAAGAGCAACTTGAGACTCTGCAATCAGAAATGAAGACTAAACTTCACAGGGCCCTTCGAGGAACATTTGCATGCATTCTGTGGGCATTCCATAAGTAATTTATTGGCATAAATCACATTAGCACCATCTTCAGTCATCCGCTGCCCCAAATTCCATGCATCACCTGGGAAGTAATATCCACTGATGAAGAACTTGTTATTGGATAAACTTCTAAACTAGAAATGACTCTTGCCTGGCATTTTCAGATATTACAGCACATTTTTCACTAGATCTCTAAGCTCTCGTACACTAAAAATAGCCCCTGTAAGCCAGAAAATTATTAAAGGGTAAATTAAAATTTACCAAGTTTAATATTTACACTTGAAATGTTGCTAACACACCACATGTTGCCCATATTTCCCCCCCAGGCGGTGGGGTGGGGGGAGGGGGGTGGGCAGAGAGGTTTACGAACGGAGGTTACGCTGGCTGAATGCAAAACTGAAAGAAAAAAATTTGTTGAGCACTGTTTTCACCGATTGCTGAGACTGCAGGGGGATTTTATGATCTGATTTCAACGGATTTAAGACCTTATCAAAATAGGATTTGCAGAAGCACTCACTTGAAGGAGATATGTTTATACCTTCCCTATATCAACCCAGGCTATTTCAGACAGACAGACAGGACATGAATATGAATTTAAGCACAGTTAAAAGGCAACATTAAACCTTTGGGGCTATATTTTTAATTTCTTGCATGTCTGCTTTTCAGCACGCAGCCATATATTTCGATGCCCACAGCTTTTGAACTCACCTTGAGCCTGAAGCTCCTGTGTTTCAAGCAGTTTATTGAGTCTTTTCAGACTCCCATAATTATGATGGGAGAGAGATGCTGCCGGAAGGAGTCAGGTTATCAAGGCACAGCCCCCTGTCACTCATGGTTGGTTACGCAAAGTCCCGTAAAGGGTTTTTAATGACAAGAGAGGCTCTACTGTGGATATTGTCTATAATCCTTTTAAGCCTTTTATTTATACTCTTCGACCTTGGAGGAATTTTTTTTTTTTCCAATTAGGCATTTCTATATCAAAACAAGAATAGAATGTGATTCCTCTTAGTAGCTTCTGACATATTCGGGGGAACACAGTGAGGCCCCAGTTAACGCCTGTGCAGAAAACGGATGAATGGTCCCTCCAACATCCACAGGTGAGCAGAGGTGTTGAGGGAGAAATCGCGCATCACGGGGTCCCACAAAGGAGGAAGAGGGACCAGTTCGCAGCCTTCTGAATTGTCCCGGGAGGACGGGAAGGTGGTTCAGCTCAGGGGCACTGCATCAAAATCCCAGTGGAGGAGAGGCAACTCAGAGGGCTCTAGGAGGGAGAGACCTGAGGACACCAGGGCAGGAGGTCATGAGGGGCTCAGGAGGGAAACAACACGCAGAAGCCTAGGGGGGTTCCTGAGTAGGCGAGAACAAATTCATTTTCCCCGGGATGTGGAAGCTGGCCAGGGAGTTCAGCCTTGGCATGGTAGGAAAAGGAGAAGCAAGTCATGAGAAAGGATGGCAACTGCCAAAGTCGAGACAGGAAAGGTGGAGAAGGCAGGAGAGGGCGCACCGTGTTGGTGCCTGAACGCCCGTGGTCTGGGGGCGGGGGAGCCCCTGAGACAGAGAGGGAGGCAAGAGACAAGAGAATGTTGGTGCGAGAAAACCATGCAAGCCCTCGAGCAGAAGCCCAGCTGGCCAGAGTCTGAGCCGGACTCCCGGAACCGAAGCCAGGTGACCTAGAGACCCCCGCAGGGGTGCTCGCCCTTCCTGACACCTGTGTCCACACGCACCTGGCAGGGCACCACTGGGCCCACGTCATCCCTGAGAGTCGAGCCCCCAGTCTTCCTGATGCCATCTCTCTCCCAGCAAACCAGAAGCCCGGGGCCACGGGCTGAATGCTGCCGTCCCCCCAAAGTCATACGTTGAAATCCTAACCCCCAAAGTGATGTTCGGGAGGTGGGGCCTTTGGGAGGTCATGGGGGGGAGCCCCCATTAATGGCGTTCGTGAGTGTCCTTACAAAGGAGAGCCCAGAGAGCCCCCTCGCCCCTCCCCCCATGGGAAGACACTGCAAGAAGGCCCCCCGTCTGTGACCCAGGAAGCAGGCCGGGCCCTCAGCAGACGTCACATCTGGGGGTGCCTGCATCTCAGGTTTCCAGCCTCCACAACTGTGTGAGAAATGCATGCTGCCGTTTAGAAGCCACCAGGTCTGTACTATTTATTCTCTGTAGCAGCCTGAATCGACCAAGAAACCCAGGTTCCTCAGGATTTGGGTCTCTGTCCTACAATCCTAAGGTCCTTTGTCTTCTTTCTGAGGCTATAAAGCCCTAATATGGAATGCAACCCCATGGCAAGGCCCACTTCTCTTAAAAGGTGAAAATCAGATGCACTTTTTTCAGTATGCTCAACCACCTGCAAAAGCTAAACACCTAATGGTTTCAATAAGCAGTGAACAATATTCCGTGTGTGTGTTTCATTAGCCAGAGAGCTGCTTGGTTACACCGGCAAGTTTATGGACAATAAATAGCACCATTAAAAGAACATAAACCATTTTCTTAAAATGATTGTGTTGCAGGTAATTTAATAGAGTGTATCATGTCGATTTCTGTTTGTGGGGAAGTAATAAGCAATTAAAATCGGGCCTGATCCATCTTTAACTAGAAGCCTATGTGAAAATGAGGCGATCCCCCTCTGCGCAAGCGTTTGGCTGGCTCTTGGCAAAGGTGAGAGCTGCAGAAAGCAGGAGAGGGGCGTGAGACCACCAGCTCACAGCCCCAGACTAAATGAAGGCCTGGAGGGGGGGGTGATCCCCTTCTTCATGTACCCTGCAACCACCACTCCTTCCTTCTCTCACCAGTGAGCAAAGACTGGTCTATGGCTGTTAACAGATGTTGGGAAGGCTACAAATGTTCGTGTCTCCCCCCAAGTAATATGTTGAAGCCTTAACCCCCAACAGGACAGTACCTGGAGATGGGGCCTTCGGTGGGGGGGGAGAGTTGGTAATCAAGGTTAGATGAGATCATAAGGGTGGGGTCCCCATGATGGGATTAGTGCCCTTATAAAAGAGACCCCAGAGCTCTCGGTCTCTCCGTGTGCACATAAAGAAGAGACCATCCACAAATCAGCAAGTGGGCTCTCCCCAGAACTCAACCCTGCCAACACCCTCATCTGGGATCTTCCAGCCTCCAGAACTGTGAGAAAAATCATCTGTGTCGTCTGAACCCCCCACTCACTGGCATTTCTTTATGGCCATCTGAGCTACCTGATACAAAGAGTGTTTGGGGGCTGTTTCTCGACTAAGAAATAGTTCACAAGCTTCTCGACTCCAGGAATTATCAAAAAGAAAAGAAAAAGGAAAAGGAAACGTCGGCATAAAAATTGCGAAGGCAATATATATATAAATATATATAGATATATATATTTATATATATATGGAAAAACATCTAGAGACGAGAAAGACCTCACAAAGTTTCATGTCCTTAGTTTCTGCAAAAACGTGTAAGACTCCACGTTGCTTTCTGAGCATCCAGAAATATGAAAGCAGGGGGGAATCTCTAAAACACTCCTGACCTCAACGACCTAGTTAAATTTCTCAGAAAACCAAATGTAACCATAAAACTCTGCTTACAGACTGAATACCCAGAAAACGCCAATCGCCTGCGGTGCACTGTTGACACTCAGCAGCACAGCAAATGTACAGTTACCCCCATTTCACAGAGGAGGAAAGTAGAGGCACTTCCCAGGGCTCTGGAGGGAGGAAGAGAAGTGCAAGGAGAAGCTAACTTGGACCCTGGCTCCAAGTCCATGCTTCTCCTACTCCGCCAGCGTCCTCAAGAGGAACAAAAATGATCAGGAAGCCCACAGGCCATATTCCTGTGCAAGGGGTAGGTCCTGGAGCCATACCGGGTGCTGAATAGCAGAGCATCTCTCCTTGGTCTGACCCTGTCTTCAAAAGCTCCCCTCCCACATCAGTGCAGAGAGAACAGGAGAGCCCCTGCCATTCCGGGGGTGTCTTCATTCCAGGCCCTCCGCTCCAGACGGGCATCCACAGCCCCATCAATTATCTGGCTCCTGGAAGGTAGACTTGGCTGGTTCCTGCCCTCCCTCCAGGCATACCCAAGTTTTTATTTAGTCAGTTCATTCAACGAATATTCACTGAGCACCTACTACGTGCCAGGCACTGGGTCAGACACTAGGGAGACAGCAAAATGCAGACCCAGATGTTCAGTTGGAGTGGCTACTAAAATCCTCTCAGGTCTGAACAAAGCGAGGGGGGTGGGCCATGCTACATCTAGAAGAACAGCACCCCGAAGACAGGGCATGCTTAGCACCCCGGTGGGTCACAGGGGAGGCCAATGTGCCGGAAAGTCCCTAAATGAGTGCGGTTTGCCTTCCGTTCAACACTGAAGCTGAAAGGGACTCCCCCACATCTGCCTGGCTTTTCAAGCTGATTTAATTTATGGAGAAAAATCACCCTTCCTATTCCCCCTTTCTTCTGTCAACTCCCAGTGTTAGTGTAATGGAGGAGAAGGAGACTTGGGCTGGGAGCCTGGACGCCAGTGTTCTAGCTGCAGCTCCGTTTCAGTGGTGTGACCCTGACCCACCAAGTCATTAACCTCAAGGCTTCAGACTCTACTGTAAGATGAAGGGGTTGGAACAATGCCTGAAATAATGCCAGTTAAAAGTCTGACCTGGCGCCTTCATTCTACTTGGACAAGGCAAAATGCCTGGAACAGAACCCTTCTGCATGGTTCTTGCTCCACATTGTATTTCTTGCCTTCATTAAAGGTCCCTCAAGCAAAAACCAACCAAACAAACAAAATGAAAAACAAATTAAAAAACCAAAAGCACAAAAAACAAAAACCAGAGTCTTCACTCTAGAGAATGCATTGCTGGTCACCAGAGGGGAGGTGGGGGGGGGGGGGGGAAAACAGGTGATGGGGATGAAGAAGTGATGGAGGGAAATGCTGAATTACTATATTGTACACTTCTTGATAAAGCCTGGACCACTAAGGACTTTAGCTACTGCCGCCCTTCGTTGATCACCTGGCATTTCACCACTCCCTGCCCGCTCACCCATTCTTCACGGAAGCTGCATTCGACCTACTCCGCCGGCACCTACATGACCCCTGGACAGGCCAGGGTGCAAAGCCCTGACCTGTGTTCTCCGACTCGGGCCAGAAATGAAAAGGCACAGTGACTGTAAGCTACTCTGGTGGGCAACATCAAAGGAGCCCCTTTTCCTGGAGGTTCTGAAAACTAGCTACTTTCTACTTCCTATTTCTACCTTTCTTGGTACTGAACAGTTGAGAAAGATCGTGCCCTTTAAAAAGTAGAGAGGATCAAGTGGTTCATTTTCGCGATGATGGCAGTCCATGGGGACACACAGTTCAGCGGGAAGGGAGGCTGGGGGGTCGCACGGCTTCCTCTCACGGTGCACCTGAACCATCTATCCTCTGCCCTGGGCCCCCACACCTCCAAATCTCCCTCTCACACCACGTAATACTCAACACTCGGGATTAAGAACAGTAGCTAATATCTTGATGCAAGCCTGAAATTTTATTCCCACCTATATTTCAGTTAAGCAAAGAGCACTACCACGTAAGTTTTAAGTTACTCTGGGTCTTGAAATTAATTTACACAAACCCAAAGTAACACATATTATTATTATTACATATTATTATTATTACATATTATTATTATTACATATTATTGTAAATAATAGCCCAATTTTGGAAGCAGACTGAGTGTCCACTGACTGATGAATGGATAAAGAAGCGGTGGTGTGTGTATATATACCACGGAATATTACTCAGCCCTCAAAAAGGTTGAAATTTTGCCATTTGCAATGACATGAATGGAACTAGAGAGTATAATGTTATGTGTAACAAGTCAGTCAGAGAAGGACAAATATAATACGATTTCACTCATATGTGGAATTTAAAAAACAAAACAAATGAGCAAAGGGAAAAAGAGAGAGAGAGAGAGAGACAAACCAAGAAACAAAGCCTTCCCGCTAGAGAACACACTGCTGGTGACCAGAGGGGAGATGCGTAAGGGGTGGGGGAAACAGGTGATGGGGGTGAAGAAGTGCACCTGTCGTGATGAGCACCGGGTGATGGAGGGAAGTGCTGACTCACTGTATCTCATTATATCGTACGCTTATGTAACACTGTATGTCAACTAACCAGAATTTAAATAAAAACTTTAAAAAAATAATAAAACACACAGGTAATAATTGCAGCCCCACATGCTGTTCTGCTAAATGAGGCAAGAGAATCCAGTTTTCATCTTGCAACTGCTGCATCTGAAGAACTAAAGGCCACATTTGGAGGGTCCTTTTGCCTTTTATTTTCCTCTTCTCATACAAAATTTCTCTTGCCAACAATTTAAGTGTTGGGAAAATAACTTCTTAACGATGAATGCCTTCTCCAAGTTCTTTAAGGGACACCCACGAATTCTTCTGTGCAATGGACAACTCGTGTCCAGAAAATTACTAAGACAAGTAAACACAATTTATTCTTATCTTATAAAGACATTAAATTATCTACAAAAGAGACAGAGCGCTCTCCTTTGCAAATATTTCCCAAGTTTCTATGGTGACACTTTCCATTCTTGCTTTTGAGTACGAGTCCCATGACTTCACAGCAAAGGCACACTGAACAGAACCTAAGAAGCCACTAATAATCCTTTGCTTTGCTATAAATGTTCACACTGGCAAATGTAGGGATCTCCCAAAATTTATAAAGCAATTAGATACTAAGCTAAGATTTAAACACCCAACTTCCCACACAAAGTAAATTTCTCCTACTAGGTTATGAATCCCAAGGCAAATGTGAGCTTAGATCTCTTCTCAACACTGACAGGCCCTTTGTTTGTCATCATAGTCCAAAATTACTCAGGGTAGAAATGGATTTCCTGGCTGCTTCTCAAAATGTTGACAACAATACTACTAATAAAATACCATGTTATGTGTCTATATGCCTGTCAAACTCAACACAAATGCAAATCCATGACATACAGAACCAAGAAAATTTTTTTTTCAATTAAAGCCTTTGAGTGACAGAAAGGAAAAATGTAAGTCTTCGGTTTCGTGTACTCTAGACTAGCACTGGCAACTAATAGGGGAGAAAAAAAAAAATCTCTGGCAATTTTAACAAAGGACTTGGCTCTTCGCTTCCAATATACCTGGTGAAATTGATCAGAATGAAAACCAGCAATCTCTGGAAGAAATTATTATTTCTACCTTGATGTCTTTAATTCCATAAGGATCCAACATTTTTTGTTCTGAAGATACCCATCAAAAGGTTGGTAAGTCTAGTATGGGCAGCAGGGGGATGGGAAGAAATGAGCAAAGGGCCTAGGAATTTGAACTATAGTATATCCCCTCTCTCCAAGCTAGATGACTTTGGACAAGTAGCTTAACCTCAGTCTCAAATTTTCTCTGCTGGAAAAGGAAATATTCACACCAAACATGGAGCACTTTTTGTAATCAAAACAAACAACACAGCAGATGTAAAATCACCTGGCACATAGTAAACACTCAAGAACGGTTAGTTTGTGAACAGGGAGATTTTTGCCCAGTGAGGTACACATCAGGAAGCATAATGCATTCTTCTATCCAATTAAGTCTGTAGAAAGTCATTTGACAGGGCATTTGGAGCTAAATAAAATCCATGACATGCCAGAAAAAAAAGTATGATTTCCTCTTTGCTATTTCCAGGTCAAGACAGATTATACAATAGCATTTGTTTGGATAGTTGGATGGATGGATGGATGGATGGATGGATGGATGGATGGATGGATGAAGGAGATGGGGGCAAATAGGTGGGAGGCTGGGAGGCTGGAGGGTGAGTAGATGTATAGGTGGGTAAGTGGATGGGTGGATGGATGGACGGACGGAGGGAGGGATATGGATGAAGGGAGACAGATGGATAAATGAATGGATGGGGGGGTGGATGAATGGAGGATGTATGGGCAGGCAGAGATTTTGGAACCTACTTCCAAGACTGTCAAAATTCCTAAAGAAAAAGGTTGAATATGACCAAGTCCCAGTCCATGGTGTCTTTCATTTGTGAATCAGTGATTCCAAAGGAATGAGATCAACTTCAGCACAGCCTCTATGGCCTTCTCCTTTTAGAACACTATTTACTGAGGTCTTGAGTTCTATTTCCCATAGAAGAGTATTTTGAAGTTAAAATGCTTAATATTCACCTACACATATGTAAATGATACCACGGAGCTAACAAACTCTCCAGAGACACATCCAGGAAAATATCCCATCTTTTACCAAAATACTTTGCAGCAGCAAAAGCTTTGGCCCTTACCTGAAGGTGGGTCCATTCTGTATTTATTCTCTTGACACCAACCAACTGGTCGAAGTCTGTAATCCAAGTAAAACAACCACTGGTCATAGGATTCAGTGTCCTCCAATCCCACATAGCGAAGGCGTAATCTTCCTCCAACATTTTCAATCACACTAACTATCCAGTACTGAAAAGGGCTCTGAGAATCCTGAAGTTCTATTAAGGAATCAACTGTAATGAGGTCTATAGGGCCTTTCCCTCGCAGAGGCTGTTTAAACAGAAGCAAAACTCCTTATTTTAAACTTTATTTTAAGGTTCTCATGGAAACAGATGACAGCAGAAGATAATATTTTTTCACACCATCATCCAAGCTACTGGCAAACAGTCTGGTGTTTCCCTCCACCCCCATCCTGTTCCACACACACGTTCACCCCACCCAGCCCTCTGTCCAACAACAAGAATCACAAGTAAACAGAACATAACAGTTTGTTCTCAATTCTCACCAAACAAATCACCCTTCCCAGATAAAACTGCATTTGTTAGAAATAAGCATGCTTTTAAGAAGAGTTACACCAAATTGGCCTCCTGCTAGAAAATACGTGGTAGCTAAATGTCTATTTTCCCATAGACTATGGGGCTATCAACTTACCCCATGACTCAACAGACATTCATCTTATAATGTCTACCACACTAATGATTAAGACTCTCTCATACTTTGGGCAAAGCATGAATACGTGTCAATGACATGTATAATACACATTAACGATCAGCTACATTAGACAATTATGTAAAGTTATTTCTACACTTGATCCCATAGTTGGTTTAGAAAATGTATATATATATATATATATATATATATATATATATAATTACTGCCCGTATAAGAAACCTTCTCAGCATGTTAGCACGTGAAAAGGGTGATTGTTCAGTCAGCCTTGTAGGCAAATATGTTAAAACAAAAAATGAACAGAGTAAGACATTGTGTCCTTCTGAAAGGGTGAAGAATCATCATTTTGATTTGTTAACCAAACAAATTAAGAGCCATTAAGATAAGCAAATACACCAGGCAAAATCTTCACAGAATAAAACCGGATAACTGTTTATCAGACAGTAGTGTTCCAAAAGTCAATGCCAAATTCATTGTTAATGTTAAGAGAATAATCATACCATCACAATCCACATCATATTCCTGTTATTTACTATGTTTCCCCTTTTTTTGGGGGGAGCATTCCTCAAACAGATTTGGTAACTCAATGATTACTTACAACAGTACAGTGCTCCTTCTGTTCTATTATATATAGTAAATATTAAAATGCTTTATCATAAAATTAGTGTCAAATGAACTATCAAGATGGCAGATTAAACTGTTTTTTCTTTGGTACCTTAAGCACACCTTAACCACACTGAAATATGATTAGCCAGTTCTCCTCTTGTTTTCATAAGGGACGCTAATTCGATTATTACTCAACACATGCGTGTTGTTAGCGTGAGGTTATGCATCCAGAATGGAATAGTCCATGGAACCATTTATCAACATGCTCCAAGACTATATAAGAGAACACAAATATGCTTTGTGGTCACCTCTACAAAACAGGTCTTCTCCAGGATTTTATCTATATCCGCAAATATAGGACAGAGGCTTACATGTATAGGATAGTGGAAAGATATCCTAACATAGTATTACTTAAAAATGTGTTCACACAGAAGCCAATTTTCCACTTATTGATTATACCACAGGTGAAGACACTTCGGTGCTATGAGAATCGTTAACCTAAACAATTCAGGAAAAAAACTGAAGTTAGGCTTCAGTTAGGCTTCAGACTGAAGCTGACCACAGGTGAAGACACTTCGGTGCTATGAGAATCATTAACCTAAACAATTCAGGAAAAAAACTGAAGTCAGGAAGTTAGGCTCTCTGGATAGATATATCCACATGTACACGTGTACCTGCCGAAGGATATAGGCAAAGGTGCTCATGTAACCGTGAGGCTTCAGACACAGAATAGCTGAATAACAACAATACATACACCTTCCAGGAGGTTGGCAGGTGCCGTCCGGGAGCCAGTCAAATCACGAATGAGGAATTCTGTCCAGTCTGTGTACTTCTCTTTGATTGCTGGCGAGACAAAAAAAAGAAGAAGAAAACAAAACAAAACACTTCAGCACAGCAGGGGAGTATCAGGTTAAGTTTAAAATCAGCACTTTTCTGTACACGTGTGTTATTTCGATAGTTTTCTTCATTTTAAGCACTGCGGTGAAGAGCTAACACGGCGACAAGAAATCTGTCCACAACGGGTGACTTTACGCCTACCGATTTTGCTGGGCATCAGACATTAAAGAATAGGGGGCCCTGAAGTTTTATGAGAATCTACTCAGAAAGTTCCGTGAGTAAAAAGAAGATATCATAACGCACAGAATTCGGGGGTGGGGGGAGGGGTTCCAAGAAGGAAGAGATCAGTGAGGGACAAAAGTCAGAGGGCAGTTTCCAGGTGGAAAAACAGCAGCAGGCTCTGAATTACACAGAAGGATTTTGCAGGTGGAGAAGAGGAAGAAGGGACTATCCGACTGAGACACACAGCAGAGGAGAGTGCACCAGGGAGGGAGGAAGTGGACGCTGGCAGCACAGTCATCGGCCGACTGCGGCCCGGTCTGAGCGCAGGACTCTGGGGAACAACGCCAAGCGACAGCCCCAGAAAGCAGGCACATTTAATCAACAGGAAATCTCCGCATAAAACGGATCTGAAAATAGCAGAGTGGCTCGAATGGAAACAAAAGAGGCTAATGGCAGAGAAACCCAGGTAAGAAGCTGCTACAGCGCTCCAAGGACAAAAGGGATGGGGCCCCAAACCGCAGGGACCATGCCGCGAGCCAGGAAGGGATGTATCTGAGACATTTTGAAGAAAGAAATTTCAGACGTTGGAAGCCAACAATCTCCAAGTGCTTAGAACCCGAGACTAGAGAAACAGGTAAATTCCTGGCACGTCCCCCGAAGCACAGATCTCCAAAGGCTTCACCAGGTGACGTCCACACCCAGGAGAGGCCCTGAGCCTTCCTGGGGCATCCCAGGCTCCCCGGAGAAGCATGACCCAGATTCGCGCGCACCCATTCTGTGGATCATGTGGAGAGCCAGCAGGCTGGTGAGCATGGCCTAGAACACATCCCATACTTAGCCTCCAGGAAAGGTTCCAGACTCGAGTGGTTTGCACGTTGCTTTGTCCTGCAGAGCCATGATGCAACCATTTCTTGCTCAAGCCTCAAGGAACAGAGTTATCACAGAAGGCAACGAGGCTATACTGATGTAGAGGGAAAAGCAGAGTCATGGCATGAGAGGGAACTGGGCTCCACAGTGGGCTCTGCCATCACTGGCTATAACTTTGAGTAATTTACCCGATTTATCGATTTATCATATACTCCTTCCTCATCAGTGCAACGGTGCTAACACCATTTTTGCTTATGGGCTGCTAGGAGGATTAAAGAAGATACACACATCAGTAAAATGTAACCATACCGGGCACATACCAGGCAATTAATAAGTAGCAGCTCTTGTTTTGTTATAAGTGTATATTAAATTATTACACAGCTCACCAACTATTTATTGTTCCTTCCCACAAATTCCAGACTGAAACTGGGAACGTGTGTCGGCATGATCACCAAGAGAAGGGGGAACAGTAGCAACACCTGCTATTCTGATCACTAACCTGCATCTCAGTCAATATCCCTCCCTCGCCCGTTAAGGATCGTAAGACCAAGAGCAAAATCAAAGTGGAAGAATTCAGGCAACATAACGGGATCCAGACAAAGCCGCAAAGTCCAGCTTTCAGCCATACAGTGTCCTAACCCCGGCCCTGCTTAACAACCAGCAACTCACCCATTCATCAGCTTCTACCACTAGACTTTTTGCTCAAATAAAATACCATCTTCCTTATTTTCTACATGCACACTCATGAGGTAATGCGTATGTTTGGGGCAGGAACTGTTACTGTGTCCTTTCCGTCATTAAAAAGTGTAGCCGTCATTTTTCAATGCTATACCCATTTCTAAATTAGCCCCTTGCTGTGTACTAAATGATTTGTGTTCCCCCAAACTCATACTGAATCCTAATGCTCAATGCGACTCCATCAGGAGGCGGGAACCTTGGGAGATAATTAGGTTTAGATGAGGTCATGTGGGTGGAGCCCTCTTGATGGGATTAGTGCCCTCATAAATGAGACCCCGGAGAGCTTCGTCAACCCTCCCACCGCATGAAATTCCGGCAGAAGGAACCAACTCTGAGCCAGGAAGTGGAATCCGCTGGGGCCTTATCTTGAACTTCCAGCCTCCAGAACTGTGAGAAATAAATTTCTGCTGTTTATAAAGGCCCGAAGAGTGCGGTTTTTGGTGGTGGTGTTGTTACAGCAGGTGAATGGATGGAGACAGCCCTCATGAGTGCCCACAGTTACTGAGAAGACCAAAAGGCAATGGCATACAAGACAAATGAATTAAAATTCGTATTCACCTTATACTTTACAAGCTTACTCTGTGTCTTGTGATCATCATAACAGTACTCTGAGGGGGATGTTCCTAACTAACTTTTCCCAAGTTCAGAGAATAAACAAGGTCAGAGCCAGCCTCAAACTCGAGTATGCAAACATCAATCCTACAGGGAGCCTTTCCGTGGGAATCTTATGATTTTCAAAGCTTTTGCATACAGATAAATCAGTAATTTAAACTGTAGGCATGACAGAGATAAAATGAAAATGACTCTCTAACCAAATGTTTCAAGATGAAGACAATATACAACTTCACCCAGTAAATATGCATTCCCTATCTTTTTACCAAAAAATGACAATCAGCATAGTTGAGTGAAAAATGGTCCCATACTCGAAAGACTTTATGTCCATATCCACTACAAGAAGAAAGTTCAATTGTTCACTTAAGGGTTGGTTCTAACATTCACATAATCAAACTGAACATTTAAATTAAAAATTTTTGAATATGCAATCACCCTATGAAGACATCGTGCAATGTTGAAATTGAACTGGGTTGAGTCACAGTAAGAGAACACTAGAGATGCTTCTGAAATTTATACCTTGTGAGCCCTCCAGTCCAGAGGCCCTGTAACTATCCATTAATGTCTCTACACGAAGCTCTGAAGCAATCTTTTATGCGCCACAGAATATCTAGACAAATTACTCTCCCTGAAAAAATGTATCTTAGCTGTAAAGACAGACCAACAACTTTTGATTAAGAAGTAGAAAGGGAATAGTTCTCAGGAATACTGTTACTTTTTTTTAAGATTTTATTTATTTGACAGAGAGAGAGAGAGCACAAGCAGGGGGAGTGGGAGGCAGAGGGAGAAGCAGGCTCCCCGCTGAGCAGGGAACCCCGTGCAGGACTCCATCCCAGGACCCCGGGGATCATGACCTGGCTGAAGGCAGATCATGACCTGCCTGAGCCACCCAGGTGTCCCAAATACTGTGACTTTTAAAAGAAAAACTGTTTCAGTCAACATTTAGTTCTCAAAACTCTAAATGTTCAAATTAAAATCTATTGCAGAAAATACTGCCATATATATATAAAACTATGCCTAACAAGTCTACAATTCTCAATGGACTTATTTTAAGTAATACTGAATTCAGTTAAATTTTAGTATAATAAAAATTGCTTAGAAATTCCTTAGAATTCATTGCAATAGAAGCTGATCTGTACTCTCCTGGGGGTCCACATAAGTTTCTAATTAGAAATTCTAAGACTACAAATTTTCATTTACTACAGAACATCTCTCTTCAAAGACTCAAAATCAACTAGGATGGATGTAAGAACTATCTTTCTCAAATAGGATAAAAATTCCTTGCCCCACGGTCATTATCTCTTCCATCAGATGATCCACACATTAAATTTCAGAAGACCTACAACATACCACACACCCAATAACATCGAATGCGAACTCTACAGCAAGAAAGGAATGATTAAAATGAAAAAAAGTAGATGGATAAAAGTTTGTCCATAACATTGAAATCACTTCCCCATGTTTTTAACTTATACAGACATACTCCTGAGAGTTCATAAGATTCTTTTTTTTTAAAGATTTTCTTTATTTATTTGTTAGAGAGACAGAGAGAGAGAGACAGCACAAGCAGGAGGAGCAGCCGGCAGAGGGAGAAGCAGGCTCCCTGCTGAGCAATGAGCCCGATGTGGGACTCGATCCCAGGACCCTGGGATCATGACCTGAACAGAAGGCAGATGCTTAACCGACTGAGACACCCAGGTGTCCCTCGTACGAACATTCTTTATTCGTAAGAAGAATAAAATCAGGATCTTTGTACAACCTTGTCATGAACATGTCATTTTCAAGGTCCTATTCAGTTTTAATACTATATAAACTTAGCACAGATAATATATATACTTTATTCAACTTTGCTTTTTAAAAAATCCAAGTTACATTCCTATTTTAACACCTCGTTTTGGGGAGGAACCCCTCTCTCCCTGAAGGAAGCGATCATGAACATGAGTTTCAGAAAAAGAAAACACACACACACCCATGCTTTTTTGCAAAGACATTCAGAGATAGCCCCCAAATCCCACAACAGCATTCCGGGGATTACAGAGCTATCTATAAAAAGGGTTCCAAAGAGGGGTGCCTGGCTGGCTCAGTCCTTAGAACATGTCACTCTTGATCTCTGAGTCATGAGTTCGAGCCCCACGCTGGGTGTAGAGATTACTTAAAAAAAAAAAAAATGGTTCCAAATAAAAGGTAGGAGATCATCATCATTTTTTTTTCAGGATTTGGGAAAACACCAGTCATGTTGGACTTCCAGGCCCATCAAGCACACGCAAACACAGAGAATTCCTTAGTTCTCAAGGAGGCCATCTGCTTTGGACACTGCTCTGTGGTACAGAGCTGCCCATCAGAGCTGCCCATTCAGGTGGATCCTGAACACTGAGACCCGGGCTGAAGTCAGAGGGACATACTCCTCTCCTCTCTGTCCATGTCACCAGGATGAAAAGACAGGTCCACGGGGAAGACAGGCTACGTCAGGCCTTTCCACTCACCAGAAAAGACGGGGAGAATAATTACAACAGGCAGTGAGCCACTTTCACTCAGATCTACTCTAGGTAAAGGAAAAGCCAAGCATTCCTGTATCTTAAGACTCCAAACACACGGAGACTTTTTTGTTCTTCATGGCAATTTTCTCGACTCGCTTTAAACCAAAGTTTCTTTGAATTTGTTTTGTCGGGTCATATTTTTGGTTCTGTCTCGGTCTTTGGTTGTTCCCTTCGTCTAGAGCTTTTTCTGCCATTTTCAAAACCTCTCGATACAGAGACCAGAGGATTTTCTCCTCCTGCATGCCCTGCATCCTCTGACTTGGGGGGTGATTTGTGGTTTATCTCCCTCCTTCTCTCTATCAGAGGCTCTCCTGGGGTGTCTGGTGGCCCGTGGTCATGCATCACACTTCAACTGGAGACCACAGAAAACCGGAACGGGAGACTTTGTCCCGGAGCAGGCGCTTGTGGCTCAGAGTGAGCGTTAGGTAACTCCCATCTGGGAAGCAAACCTCCAACTAGCCTCTCCTGTTCTCCCCAGGCAGTTCGTCCATTTCTTTAGCCATGAACCCGGAGGATACGCATGGTCTCTAGTCCTCTGTTGTCCCAATAGTGTGGGGGACATAGAGTCTGGGAAGTGTTCTGACCAAAGGCACCCCATTAAACCCTGCCATTCCCAGCCCCACCTGGGACTCCCACCCAGCCAGCACTGCAGGGGCTCCAAGGTACCCCCCCCACCAAGTGTGGGGTTGCAGTGGTCCCCACCAAGCTTTGGCAGTCACCAATCCTTCATGAGCTTTCAAGCTGCAGGAACATTTTTGAAATTTCTTTTCTGTACTGGTCTCTCTTCAATTCTTTCTGTTGTTGGTTTAGGTATTTTTTATTCCTTTACTATCATTTTAATGTGGCCTCTGGAGGAAGAAGAGGTAAGTAGGAGTGCTCCATCCACAGAAACTCCTGGCTCACAACAGAACTGGGCTTTACAATACAATGTCAGGCAGCAGTCTTTGACTTACCGGGAAACTATTCTTTAACACTGACTTCGCTAAAGAAAAGAAGTGGCAACAGTGAATCCTGAATTATAAATGGAAGCGCTTACACTTACTATTAAGAATAAAACACTATAAAGTTCTTTCCCTCAGAGGTTTTTAAAGGAAAGTATCCACATTAATTTTTCATACAGGTTCAAATTAAATTGTTCCCACAAACAGAAAAGACAGATCGCAAAATGACTCAACGGGTCAACAGGATTGATAAGCTCCTACCGTGTGCAATGGACCACATACAGATTAAAACATCCCTATCTTCAGTAATAAATACAATGTAGATGAAGATGTTAACTTGTGAAAAATGCCGCAAAAATTATCTTTACACACAGATACACACACACACTCCTTAGTGCTCGCCATCTATAGACTGGAGGAAAAGTCTCAATTCAACCTTCCAGGACTCTTTCAGTTATATAAATGTACTTGAACATTACGAAAAGGGAGTATGATTATTTGCTCTGAAGATCAGGATTTCGCAAAAACACAATCTAAGAACTGCTGGAAGGAACCAAGAGAGAGTGATGACTTTCAGCTGAAATAGAAACAATGAGTGAGAATAGTCTACATCACTAAAACACGGAATATTTAGACCATTATAATCATTAAAACCTTGGTCGGTATGTACACAGACTCTTAACAAGAAAGCCCTCTGCTACTTAATATTCTACACATTGCTCAGAATTTTCCTCAATATTGGGATGAGAGCAGGAGAGTTCCTCCGTGTTGAAATTAGCGTCTTACGGGGTCATACGTGACTTTTCATGGGGACAACTTCATTGGGCGGTTGTAAGCATTAAATGAGAAAAGGCCTCCCTGCTGTTATTACTCTGGTGGCAAGGTACTGACCCTGGTGAAAAGTGAAGTATTC